CATAAGTGCATCAATGAACAAAGATAAGACCTTTAGTGAATTTAAAAGCCGTGCATTTAAAAAAAAAAAAATTGTTTTTGTCAAGATAATCACCATTGAGTGGAAAAAAAGGCTTAGGCCAATGTAATTTTATTCCTACTTGATATAAAGAAAATAAGGCACCGTTTGATTGCCCATGAATTTCCTAGAAAGTGGAAATTAATTTTTATCTTTTCCAAATTCTAGTGTTTGATGGCAAAACATTTCCTTGGAATTCACTTTCCATGCAAGCCACACACGCGCCTATTTTCCTTCATTTCAAGGAATTGGTTTTCCCACCTATATGGTGGGAAAGTGAATTCCAGGTTTTCAATTTTATTTTTTTTCCTTTTTTTTTGTGTTAGCAATGGAAACAAATTTTAAGAATTATTGTAAAAAAATATTTTCTTTTAATTGACAATTTCCATGTAAAACAAAGCCAAACGAACACCCAAAAATAGATGATTTTTTTGAATTTTTTTTTTTTGGTTTTGGCAATGGAAACAAATTTCATTCCCAATACCAGTAAATTTTATCCCTTTAATTGATAATTTTCATGTAAAACAAAGCCAAACAAACATCAAAAAACACTTTAATTTAAACATTTTCCACGTGAAAGATTATACCAATCAAACACAATAATTTACAATTCCCAGGAAAATAATTTTTCATCAATTTAATTCCTTGAAATTCGTTTTCTTTCCACCCAAATTCCACATTTGCAATCAAATGGACCCTAAAAGTAATTCTCTCTACCTATGGGTGAGCCGCCACCGTCCTCAACCAATAACCATCACCACCTACCACCCAAACTACCGGACTCACCCACCACCGGAAGCCTCTCACCACCCTCCACAACATCTAGCCTTCGCCAACCCACAACACAGTCAAAAATAGCCCCAATCTCTACAAAACTGCAAGCCCTTAACACCAAACATCCTTTCCTCCCGCCTCCCATACCGTTGAACACCACCACCACAGGCGATGGCAAGAGCCCTCTCCACAATTCCCTATCTCAACTGGCCTCATGCTACCCATGTCAGCCACAACATCCAAAGAACCTCTCTTACCTGCGATCTGCCTTCCTAGTCGCACCAAAACTTCAAATCACCCACGAAACATCTCCTCTCCAAACCGGTGGTTCCAGTGGAGTTTTAGCAACAAAAAATGCTCAAAATCTCAATGTCCAATAAGTGGGTTCCTTCCAGATGGGATTTTGTGAAAATATTGATACGATAGATAATGCTAATGTTTTGCAATTGAATACTTTCACCCCCAATCATTCAATTGAGGGTGAATTGGGACAATTGAAGCTTAATACGTGCTAATGTGTTAAAATGATCTCAAACAAATGAATTGGACTTAGATTCCTCATCTCTGGAATTAAATTATATCAATTCTCAGTGTGACAATGGTCGAGTAAAGGTGGTTCCTCCTATAGAGGTGGCTGCGTCGGGTTGTGAAATGTGGAGGACGACTTTGGTTAGCTCCTTTATTGGCAAGAAATTAGCTTTTCCTGTTGTGAATTCCATTGCTTATAAATTGTGGGATAGGTTTGGCCTTAAGAAGGTTCTATCGTCAGATGTTGGGTTCTATTTTTTCAAATTTGATTCTCTCGGTCGAGCTCTTTTGTTTCTTGAAGGAGTGCCTTGGCATGTGGCTAATAGGCCACTTATTCTGAAGTGTTGGAAACCTAATATGACTTTGACCAAGGAGAATCTACATTGCATTCCTATTTGGGTGAAGCTTTATGATATTCCTTTTAAGTACTGGATAGCAGAGGGATTGAGTCATGTAGCTAGTGCAGTGGAATGTCCTCTATGGGCAAATGCAATCACTCTTACACGTAAAAGTCTAAGCTTTGCACATGTTTGTGTTGAGATTAATGCTTTGGAAAAGTTAGTCGAGGATTTTGATTTATGTTGTGCTAACGGGGATTGGATAACTATTCATGCTGAGTTTGAATGAGTCCCCATTAAACGTTTGGAATGTGGGGTATTTGGCCACAATTGCTCTTATCAAACTAAGCCTAGTAAGAGTAAAGTTAAGCTTGCTAAGGTTTGGTTGCTAAGGATAAGGCTGGCCAGAGTGGTGTAGCTTATGAGAAACCACCTATTGAGGATGAATGGACCCATGTCTCACATAAGAGAAAAGTCTACAGGTAACGTTGATCCTAGTGTTGCTATGCCTATCCAAGAAGATGGAATCCATACTTTGGCAGATAATTCTAAAGAGGTCCAAGTAGAGGTTGATTTGCAACCATCGCATAGCGAACTTGAACATCATCTGGTGGTTTGTCAAGATAGCTCATGGTGAAATTGATAAGTCATCTTCACCTAGTGATCCTGATTTACAGTTGGTGGAGTCAAATATGCCTAATGAGACTTCTGAAACTAGGGAAGAAAGGAAAGTTTCTCCAGTTCCACTTGCCATTCTAGGTGAAGATGATAGTGATATTTCTGTCCCTTAGTCTAACATGTTGGCAACGAAAGCTAAAGATTCACTTCAGAAGAAAAAGAATGAATCATAGGGTAAGCATAAGAAAGGTAAAAGCATCACTCCCATAGGGAAGGTAGATGGCATTAACTATACTGAGGTTGTGATTCTTTCCAAGACTTTAATCATGTTTTTTGGATGCTGGAATCCAAATGATGTAGATGTTTTGATGGTAGGCTTCTCTGCTCAAGCTATCCATGTTCGTATTAATGCATGTAATGGTAAATGGAGTTGTGTGGTGTCAGTGGAATATGGGGATAATAACCTAGTTAAGCGTGTTGATTTATGGGCTGATTTAGTAGTTAGGAATGGAGGCTTTGCATACTTGCCATGGGTGGTCATGTGTGACTTCAATTCCATTTTCTTCTCTTCAGAAGTGGAAGGTGGTTCTTCTTGACCTCCATGGCAAGATGATCTTAGGAATTACATGGCGACAATGGGGTTAGATGATCTGAAGTTTGACAGTTGTCTATATACATGGTCTAATAAGCATTTGTCTTATCCTATTCTCAAGAAACTTGACCATGTATTGGTGAATTCAAAGTGGGAGGATGAGTTTCAGGGATTAGCAACTACTTTTCTTATTGCTAGTGTGTCGGATCATTCCTTATGGTTGTGAAACTTGCTAAGTTACCATGTAAGAAGATTCCATTCCACTTCTTTGATTATTGGATGGATCACCAAGCTTTCTTTCCTTTGGTGGCTCAGGTTTGGAGTGAAGCTGTCGTTGGAACTCCTATGTTTTGTCTGTGTTCGAAGTTGAAGAAGCTGAAGCTTCCCTTGAAAGATTTTAATAAGGAGCATTTTTCAAATCTACTTACAAGAGTTACTCGAACTCGGACTGATTTAGAGCATGTTCAATATTTGATTCAGCATTCACCTTTGGGTTCATCTTTACATAGGAAGGAGGCTCAATTACATAAGGAACTTTGTGAGTTAATTAGGGCGGAGGAAAGCTTTTTGAGACAAAAAGATCGTGTTAAGTAGTTGAATTTAGGAAACCAGAACACTGCTTTATTTTTCAAGGCTATGAAAAGTCATTATGGCAAGAGTAAGGTGGTTTCCATTTGTAAAGATGATGGTACTAGAGTGGAGGAGCCGCATGAGGTCACTGAAGCTATTGTTGCGTTCTATCAAAAACTCTAAGGTCAGCAACCTAGTGGTGAGAGCCTAGATATGGAATTGCTTTGAAAAGCCCTTCCTAAGAGTATCTCAGCAGTGCAGAATGAAGACTTTGATAGAGATGTGTCATTTGAGGGGATAAAGGAGGTTTTGTTCTCTTTGAAAGACAACAAGGCTCCGGGACCAGATGGTTTTAATGCAAGTTTCTTCAAGAAGACTTAGAGTATTATAGGAAATGATGTTCTATGTGCTATCTTGTCTTTCTTTGACTCGAGGCATCTATTGAAGCAAGTTAATGCTACTACCATCGCATTGGTCCATAAGGTTCCAAATCCTTCTCGGGTAAAGGACTTTATGCCTATCTCTTGTTGTAATACTATTTATAAATGTATTGCTAAGCTTATTGCCATTAGATTTAAAATGGTACTCTCAGACATTGTTGGACCTCAACAAACTGCTGTTGTTAAAGGTAGACATATTAGTTATAATATCCTTCTTTCCTAAGAGTTGTTGAGGAATTATCACCACAGAGGATGTTTGCGTAGGTGTGCTCTTAAAGTGGATTTCATGAAAGCATATGATTCTGTTCATTGGGATTTTCTCTTTGCGATTTTGATGGTGCTTGGTTTTCTAGAGAAAGTTATTAGATGGATTATTAAGTGTGTCACTACCACTCAGTTTTCGATTTCCATTAATGGGAAGTTGCATGGTTTCTTTTCTGGTGGGAGAGGTCTGAGACAATGAGATCCTTTGTCACCCTATTTATTTATCTTGGCAATGGAGGTCTTTTAGGGTTAATGGGGTTGATGGTTGCTTAACAGAATTTTAAATACCACTAGAGGTGTGAGAAGGAGAAGATCACCCAATTGTGTTTTGTTGATGATCTTACGGTCTTTTGTAGAGCTGAGGTTGGTTCCGTATCTCTCATTGGGAAATGTCTTAATCGATTCAAAGCGCTTTCTGGACTTATTCCTAATCTAGATGAGAGTAATCTATTTGGAAGTGGTGTTTCCTCATGTCTTAAGGATCTGTTGCTTGACATTTTGGGGTATAAGGATGGCATGCTATCGATACGTTATCTTGGTGTTCCACTTATCTCTACCAAATTGTGGGCTTTTGATTGTAAGGTCTTAGTGGATCGTATTACAACTAGGGTTAAGAGTTGGACTTGTCGAACGCTCTCCTATGCAGGCAGGCTACAACTTATTAAGTCGGTATTATTTTCTATTTAGGTCTATTGGTCTTCTATTTTTCTTTTACCTAATGCTATGATCAAGCAAATGGAAGATTCACTACAGGCCTTCTTGTGGAAAGCTAGTGACCTTGGCACCGGTGAGGCTAAAGTGGCTTAGGCTAAAATTTGTATGCCTAAGGAGGAGGGTGGTTTGGGTCTACGGAGTTTGGAGATTTGGAATAAAGCTGCCATGTTAAAGCACCTTTGGTCCCTTTGCACGGATTCTGCCTCCTCTCTTTGGGTTTTATGGGCACGATGTTATCTAATTAGAGGATGAAGCATTTGGGAATTGAAGTGTTCTGGGGATTGCTCTTGGAGTTGGGGGAAGATTCTTGGACTCCGGGATATAGGGAGAGACAAAATGAAATACAGTATTGGTAATGGTAGACATGTTTCGCTTTGGTATGATAATTGGCACCCTCTTGGCCCCTTAGAGAAGATTCTTGGTGAGAGGATCATTCGTGAATCCAGATTGAGCAGACTAGCTAAGGTGGCTGATATTGTTGAGGGAAATACTTAGAGGTGGCCATCAGCTCATTCTGAAGCTTTGTCTGACTTGATGTGAAATATGCATGGAGTCTTCTCTGCTCGGAATGCTTAGGAGTCTCTTCGACTTTGCTGGCCTAAGGTGACTTGGTATCACATTGTATGGTTCCCTAAATGTATTCCACGTCATGCACTCATCCTTTGGCTAACAATTCTAGGTGGCATCTACACACAGACAAAGCTTCTTCGCTTTGGTTTGGTAAAATTTATGTGTTGTGTGCTGTGTGGTTGTTCACTGGAGGATTTGGATCATCTGTTTTTTGCTTGCCCATTTTTTGAGCATGTTTGGCATGCTCTGCATGTAAAATGTAACTTGCCCTGGGTTCAACGGAGTTGGGCAGATACTCTTTCTTGGATGGAGCAGTTTCGTGGGAGGTCAATGCAATCCATCGTCATTCGGTTGATGTTTGCGGCTTCGATTTATACTATAAGGAGTGAGCGCAATGTCAGGACCCACGGTGAGGCTCCTAAACACAAGCCTGCTGTTATTCGAGATATTATTTTTTCTGTTTGTGCACGGTGAATTTATGTTAGGGCTTGGTCCCATCTAATGAGAATAGATGGCTCCTCTACGGATATTTTTTATTGTCGTTGTTAGGATATGAGCACTAATCTAGGTTTTCTATTATCGACGTTAGGAGACATATATTCATAGCCTAGTTTCTTGGGATATGCCCCTGTGATTTGTACTTTATTTTTACATTTTGGATGAATAAAGATAATCACCATTTTAAAATTTGTAATTTGGGAGTAATTATTTTTCAAACAATATAGATTTTTTGACCTTTGGAATAGGGCCAATATCTGAAAACTGACATACCCAAAACAATTGATCATTCAAACGCATACCATACTATGCTATTTGTCATTCCTACCCTTCATTGCTAGACAAGTTTAAAATCTTGGAAGGGCACTCATGTCATTTTGCATGCCCACAACATTTGACAATTTTAAAGGTCGCTGTAATGGTTCAATAATTACTACATGTCGGGGTCCCACTTACCTTCTCAAACGGTAAAAAAAAAAAGAATTTAAATTTATCCAAAATGGCTCACAGACAACCACTTAGGGTCTATTCGGTAGTAATTATAAAAATTAATTTTTTGATATTTAGAAAGAAAAGTAAATTTCACATGTGAATAAAGAAGTCAAAAATGACGGCTGAAATTATGAAATAACGATCAAAATTTTAATTTTTTGGAGAAAAAAATTACTACCAAACGGGGCTTAATCTATTCTATTTAACTGAAACCCTAATGCAAAACACTATTTGTTAACTTTGTTCTGCGTATTGAGTTTTAAAATTTTATTTTACTTCTTTATCCTCCATGCTCGGTTGAAAATGCGCGCGCACAAGACTTGGTCCGGGCTCCTTGTTGAAGTTTATTTATTAAAGTATTATGCTAATTAATTAGAAATATTTATGAATTAAACTTGGGACGTGCGGGTGGGCGGCGGAGTGACCTAATCAAACGCCGTCCCCACACAAATACAAAAATAGATTGTAGCAACAATGGATTGGGTCTGAATTTCATTGATTTAATGTCAAACACTTCGATCATATTTTTAAAAATAGAGGATTTGTTTTTCCTTCTCATTGGCCTAATTATGTTTTAATTACAGATTACATCTATATTATCATCGAGACTTCATAAGCATTACTCTAATGTTCTTAATAAAAAGGAAAAATTTTTATCATCGTTTTTTAAATAATTTTTTTTCTTTCAAAAGAACTTACTCTTATTTGAATTTTCCAATAATATAATTACACACAATGTATGTTAATTGTATTTGATGGTGTAGGTTTTACCAGTGAGTTTGGCAAACATAGAAAAAATTATAATATTAATGAATCTGTTGCCAATTGAAACAAAAAGGTATATAGAACACTAAGATCTTGCCCTAGTGTAACAAAGTTAAAGTAAAGTGCTTCACAACTGTGATAGGCCTAGAGATGGCAAGCGGGTTCGTCAGCTTGGGTCGCTCGTAGCTCTGCTCGGCTGGGAGGCACCGAGCCAAAGCTCGGGTCGAGCCTCATTTTTGAGAGTTGGCTCGAGCCGAGCTGACCCGTATTAAAAATAAAAAATAAAAAAAGATGAAAAAGCTGCTGCCTGTTTGGCAGCTAAACTGAAGCTGCCAACTAGCAGCAAATCTACTGTCGGTTGGCAGTAGATTAGCTGCCTGTTTGGCAGCTTATTTTAATTTGCAAGATAGGCAGCAAGAGGTATAGGTAAGAAAAAAAAATCCAGAAATCGGGCTTGGCTCGGTAAAGCCCGAGCCGAAAGCTCGGGTCGAACCTTAATTTTCCGACGGAGCTTTTGCTCAGCCCAGCTCGGGCCAAAAAAAGCCAGCCTTAAAAAAGCTCGAGCCAAAAATTTTAGCTCGCGAGCCGGCTTGACTCAGCTCGTTGACATCCCTAAATAGGCCTAAGATATACTCTTTCTAAAAAATGTTGAACCCGAACTTTGAGGGCCCCTATCGCTCCGTCCCTAGAGCTTTGTAAAAGAGGTAAATTGAGGGATATGTCCCAACAGATCAGAAAACAAGAGTTGCATGTACACTGCGCCTACAAAGAGTCCAATTTCATGTCTCAAGAATCGAACTCCTACACTGCCACTGCCAGTAAGGCGTGAGATAACATCACTTTTATCCTTTGCACCACTGGGCTATGCCCTAGGGGACTAAGCTTTACTCTTTCTTCATGCATGTGAGGTGAGCAGTGTTGTGTGTACAATTTCTGTGAAGAGGCACAGATCTAAGGGTGGGTGATATTTTGGCGTTTTTTATCACAATGTGAGATTTCTAGTGCATTTTCTGTGAAACACTTTTCTGTACAAATGGAATTGTTGATATGAGGTTCCCTTATCAAACAAAGAGAAAATCAAAATTAAATGTCAATAAGATAGAATTTTACTGTCCATTCTTTGCGAATACAATAACAGTCTCTCTTTTTTTTTTTTTTTTTGGCAAATGTATCACTAAACCGCAGTTTGAATCGGGTTTTATATATTATATAATCATTTTCAACTAAATCATTGACAACACATTAACTCATTTATGTAACCACCTAATTTGAGTTTATTTAATTATATTATTAGAAATTACAACCCATCTAACTCTTTAATCCCACTAAAGATTGTTTGACATCTTCCTATGGTTTCCAAATTCAGAGTAACTAACCTCTTCGTGTCACTTAAACGATTATGTTTAAACAGACGTCATTTAAGCGTTGACAAATTGGCTAAAAATTTTATCCTTTCGTCCTCTTTATATTATATAACTGCTGCATCAAGACTCTCGAGTTAACCATTCATAGACGTAACTCATAGCATATCCCGTGAAGTTCTTTTCTCTACTGTTCTCTTCCCTTTTCTTCTCTTGTCTTCTACTTAAACTCCTCATACTTAGCTTATTTTTGCCATAAGTAATTATTTTGAGCCATCTTCTTTTGCATGAATGTTATAGTTCTGATAGAAACTTTTAAGTCAATGAATAACACGGTGACTCCGAGGATGAAGATCATGTTCAACTTAGTTTATGACAGAGGTTGAAAAATCATCGTTTTTGTCTGTGTTTTTTCAATTTCTTCTCTTTTTTGTGACTTGTTTTCTTCTTGTCGTAAAAAAAAATGGATTTGGGTAAAGGAAAAGTTAAGAAAGGATTGATGATCAAAACATGGGAGAGGTGCAAATCCTTCAGTGGGCTTGGAAGAAAAAACTCTTCTGGAATTGGGCATGCTCTTAAGATGAAGAGCAAATCATGGCCTCATGGCCTAATAGGCCGCGCTGCCACCTCCGATGAAAACCGAGGAAAAAAATGTAAAGTGGCGCCGGAAGGTTGTTTCTCAATCTATGTGGGACCTCAAAAACAAAGGTTTGTAATCAAGACTGAATGTGTTAATCATCCTCTCTTCAAAACCTTACTTGAAGAGGCTGAATCGGAATATGGATATAGTACTGATGGCCCTCTTATGCTGCCATGTGATGTTCATATTTTTGTAAAAGTGCTGGTGGAGATGGAATATCCCGACGAGATTAGCAGTCTGCAGGGATGCAACTTTGGTCGGAGTCACAGCTCTTACCAACTCCTCACGCCACCGCGAATTGTGGCGATGAATAAATTTTAATGTTTTTTGGCGCAAGTTGTAAATGCCGTTTGTAAGATCTTAATCATGTGTTCTTTTTAGATGTATTATAAGCGTTTTCCAACCAGAGATAATGTTAGAGCAATTGAGTATCTGGTTTATGTCAAATTGAAGATGGATGGAAAATTTCATGCTGTGCTGTATATCAG